ACGTTGGCATTGGCAAAATATTCCGCGAAACCAATGCAAATGAGGCCATAGCATAAAAAACAGAAAAATGGTTTTAGAGGTAAAGTGAAACCACAGTAAGAAGTTCCTTACGATTCACATGTAATATAATTGACATAATTAATTTTGCACTATACTTATAGAATTTAAATAGAATTATTATTATGTTATGAATCAAGGCTTATTTTCTCTACAGATAAGTGTGTAATCGACACCTCTGTACAATTATAGCATTAACTAGTCATTACTGTTACTTATTTTGTAGGAAATTCATAAATTTATAATGTATAATATTAACAGCTCCACTATGTGATTGAACTTTTATCTATAACATTAAATCAATCTACTTGCAAGCAAGCAAGCAAATTTTCTCTCTAAACGAAGTAACTTGATTAGAATAGACCAGAATAGAACATCTGTTTTTATTTACAGAAACCCTCCTGCTTAATTTGATCTATTGCATTATTATTGCATTTTGTGCTAAGATAAATAATGTTTTAGGTCTAATTTTCATATGACTTACAAATATTTTTTTCAAATTCATATAAAATATGATTCGTATGAAAATACAGAAGTCAAATATTAATATGCAATATCAAATTGTCAAGACGCGGGCTTCGTAAAATACTTTTATGAATTATTCAGGACCGCTATAAACCATGTCTGACCATTAATTAACTTAAAAGCTTTAGCTTGTTTACGCTATTTAAATCTGTTAATAGCGTAACTTATAGTTTTATTCCTATAGGTTTATTTTAAACCTCTTTACATTATTTGCAAACATTTTTTAATGCTATATTAACCTTTTTCTGAAATTTTAAGAATGCATTTGCCATATTAATATAACTTACCCTTGTATATTATCTTTAGTAATAATTAAAACATACATTTTACCGCCTTTCATCTACTTCAGAGGTAATGGCGTCTATTAAATCATCATTCAGGTGTGTTATTAAGTTAATATGAATGTAAACATATTAGAAAGCCACTTATTATTCTAACGCTTGAATAGAAAATAATATGGAACATATTATTATAATTCCTTTCTGCTACTTATATAAATATTTATTTTATTAAAACTTCCACGTGTCACAATTTTTTCGTTTCTTATTATTACTTACTTTGCCAACAAATTTCATTAACAAACTTAGTTCAAACTCCCTCCAGGTTTGACGTATCCATATAAAAAATATATATTTTTCTTAAAATATTTTAGTATGAAATCGATTATTCATATTTATTTATTTTCATAATATTTGCCGTCAATTTTATGACATCAATTAAGAACAGAATATAAAATACGAAAGTATTTTTACTAACATATTATAAAAAGTTTTGTTCCTCAATAAGACGACTTACATTATTCTAAAAAGTTAAGCTTAGCTCAGAACCTTTCAAACCCTGAAGATTTTCTCTGAAGTGTCGTTTGTGATAATATTTTCTTCCAATGTAGGTAGAATACGTCCCGATTTTGATGAACACGACTGTATGAAATACGACACCAGATAAAAACGACATTAATATACAAGAAAATATGTGGTCCTTTAAAAAATTATTATAAAATATGTATTATTAAAAGCCTATAAGCTATTACTAGATGCCTATAAGCTAAGCCCAGTGTTTGCTTTCTTCGTATTTTGTCACCTTTTGTGTCTATCTTCCCCTGTGACATTTTGCATTTAATTAAGGTTCGGTGAGTATTAACAAATCACATTCATCTTACAATTTTAAGTCCCATACCTGCCTATCAGCACATATGACTCCGAAAAATCACATTGATACTTACCTAGGTTTAAACCCGCGCCCTCGGCAACGAGAGGCGGGCCCCTTCACTGACCTTAGTCCCATACAATATTGTAAAATTACTTATCTATTTATTAGTTTTGCAAAACGAAAAGTACGCGACTAAAAATAAAGCAAAGCAATGTAATGCAATCTTCATTGAACACAACCCTTTATATATTTTTTAAGAAACATATGTACATCATAATAAAAGTAAGGGCTTTATTACAATGATATCAACAGCACGGAGACTAGTTCCGGAACAAGTTGTTTTTACAACATATTGTATGTAATTGAAAACTTGGTTAAGTATGCCTTTCTAATGCTTTACTAATTGTAATAGTATAAATGTATTAATTTTTTACGTGTGATGGTATTATTTTTCGTATATCAGTATAAAAAATAATATCATGAATGTCTTTTTACACTAAATTATTTCCATTATTTCATGTTGTCTGTGAATTATCTGAATAAGAGGCATGACTTGTTTGCAAGCGTGATTGTCACCCTGGTCACATTTCCTCTTGGAAATAAATTTTTATTTTAAACAATCCTTTAATTAGTTCAATGCAGAAGTTGATGAGATATATTTATTATAAGTGTATTGTGTGTAAGTTCTGCCCTATAAAAGGCGATATTATATTTTTTCGATCCTAATATTCGAGTCAAATGCATATCGTTAAGTTTAATATTCTTATATTAAGGTATATTGATCACCTTCTCTGCACTATATTACATAAATAAAAATGTTCTTATCTTTATTCAAGTAATTTGATTCTCCTTCGATATAAGAAAGCGAGATAGTATAAAAAATTAAAAATATATATTTATTTTTAAAAAACTCCTTCAAACTTTTTAAATAAGATCACGAGAAAATCTCCCTCAATTTCATTTATTATTAGATTAAATAGAATATGTATATATATAATGAAATGAAAGAACTTAGTCAGTCCTTGCAATTTCATAGTGAAGAAATGGATGAAGTGATTACAATGGTAGCAGTTTGCGAAGAAACCATAAAAAATTTAAAGAAAAAGAACATCGAACTCATAAACAAAAATAATAATCTAGAGACGAGGATAGGTGCACTGGAACAGCGTTTACAAGAAAAGGAGCAGCGGGAATTATCTAACTGCGTTGAAATTTGTAATGTTCCTCAAAGGGCTGATGAAAATACTTATCTGCTAGCTAAACCGGTTGCAAAAAACTTAATCAACAAGCTGAAGATATTAAAGAAGCAATTCGTCTACCAGGTAAGAAAGAATATTCGAGCCCTATCCTGGTCAAACTAAAAAATGAACAACTTCAAAACTCATGGCTAATGTCTGCAAAGTCAAGTTATCATAAAATTAATGCGGTCGATATTATTCCCGAAACTACTGACAACATTGAAGGTGAAAAATCCATATATCTCAGAGAAACCCTAACACCGTATAATAGATATTTACTATGGGTTCCAAAAAAAGAACCAAGTACCACCTACATATTCATCTGGATCAAAAAAGGAATTTTACGTGCACGCAAAGAAGGTTATAAAGAAAAGGCAATAATTATTCGATCAAAAGAAGACGTTAATAAGCTAAAATAATTCTTAATTATACGTAGGTACATATGTTATACTTATTGTTCTATACATAAAATTTCTTCTAAAGATGGATAACATCAGAGATGATATTTTAGACTTATCAGATTGTACTAACTTACAAATATTTATAGACAGCATACCTACTAACACAAATCTATTATGCATACATATAAACATTAGGTCTATAATAATCAAAAATTTCTCAATTCATTCAAAAATTCATAAATTTACCACTAAAAATTACAAACCCACAACTTTCGAGCTTCTTTTTGGTCAAATTAACACTTCATGGGGATATAATTCAACTTTGTGTGCTATGTATAGACCACCTAGTAATAGTGAGCAATTATTTTTAAATGAACTAGACATATTTCTGAGTAAAATAGAACAGAGTTATGATATATGTATAGGGAGATATAAACTTAGACTTAAAATATAACTGTCCTATAAAGCATAAATATAGCAGTGTTATGTATAATCACTGGCTTGTGTGTGGGATCTCGGAATATACCCGTGTAGAAAAGTGTAGTAAACAAATTAGTAAGACATGTATAATGTATTGATCTCATTTACGCGAGATCCTAGAATATCAGAATATCTTGTTCCAACATTTTTGAACAATCTTACTAATGATTTTAAACATTTCATAAGTATAAGTAATAATAGAGATTTTTTTTTTAAATATTAATAATAACACTTAATATACCTAATTAAATTAAATTAAATAATATCTCATAAAGGGAAACGGATCACCTGTATTTGCACTATCTACAAGTTATTTCTTTCAAATGCATTATCGCAAAACCGGCTTTAAGGACCGACCGGCCGAGTAGTGCATCGTAAGTACCTATTGTATTCGGTGGCGACGTAAGGGGAGGCGACGTGGGCCACCGCCTACGGCCTCGCGGTACAAGGGGCCTCGCGCCTCAAAAATTTTTAAAGCGAGAATAATAAAAAAAAATACATATATATAAATCAATTTTGTTGTGAAACATATTTTCTGATAACATTTGCCGCCGACCAGAGTGCGGGGAATCCCTGGTTTTATTTGTTTACGTTCTTTACTTGGAAGCCAACCAATCAAATCAAAGTACGCAACGCAGTCGCTAGGAACTTACCAAAAGAAACGTATATAATTGTGTTATTCAATATCGTTTATTTTTGTGACTGCACTTACCAGTTTTGATAATAATAGTGTGTTCAAAGTTTTAATAATATTTAGTGAATAAATAGATAGTGTTGAAAAGAGTGACGTTTTTTAATTGTTTTTGTTTTTTTTCTAATTTGTAATACACCGGTACCTGTACTCGTCTATTTTACATAAGGTAATAAATATTTAATTGATAATAAGTATGTAACGCAGTAATTACTTGTATATAAAATACGCTTTATAATATCTTTTGAAGGAAACCAAAGCTTAAAGGGTAAAAAACGTATCGACGTTTAAGTTTTTAAAACTACCAGGGAGAGCTTTATTAAAATTTTTTATTTAAGAACTAATTTACATTTAGGTAACCTTATTTATACCAATAAAAATCGACATAATATTGTAAAACCTACAAAAAAATTTTAACTTTTGCTCTTGTTTACTGTTTATAGATACGACGTTATCGATATGTCAGGCCGAGATAGAGATATTGGAAGAAAATGGGAGTGTGGATCAGCAAAACGGAAAAGAAAAGCTGAGAGAACTGCAACCAACCAGGTGTTGAGTTCCAATATGATGAAGTTCCTCAACCAAACTGCAACTGAACCTTCTGAATCGATACCTTCTACACAACAAGCGTCCGAGATTCTCTTGAAAAATGCTACATCATCTTCTCCAGCTTCTATGCCATCATCTTCTAGCCAAGCAAAATTTGACGCGGAAACTCTTATGCTGTCGTCAAACAATCAAGTTAATTCGGATCCGGAACATTTTATGCGATTTCTAGATGTTACTGAGACAACTGGAGAATATTTAGCCAATGCTATACTGGAGCACCTACAAAATACGACTTAAATATTTAAGACTGCCGTGCCCAGGTATACGACAATGGTACAAATATGGTAGGTGTAAATAGTGGAGTTAAAACTCGAATATTGAATATTAACCCTAGGGCATTTTTCACACCTTGTGGATGTCATAGTTGGAATCTTCTGTTGGTAGATGCAGCGAACTCATCTATTTTAACTTTTTTTGGTTTCATTCAAAAAATTTATTTACTACTTTCAAGTTCAAGCAAACGCTAGGATTTAATAAAAGGCAAATTAAAACTAACTATGACCCATTATCAGACACAAGATGGGAAAGTAGAGTCGAAGCAGTAAAAGCCGTACTATTGCAATTCGCTGAAGTGATTGAATGCATCGAAAGCTTAAAAAATCAAACGGAGCAATCAGACACTCTCAGTGATTGTGATTCGATACTAAATGAAATGTTAAGTTTAGAATTTATCGTATCTTTACATGTGTGGTATGAGATATTATCGCGTGTTAATATTATAAGTAAATGATGGCAATCAGTACAAATTCATTTAAGCATTGCTCTTGAATATGTATACACATTTTGTGAATGGATGAAAGAGTATCAGGAAACTGGCTTTGAAAAAGTTCTGTCTGATGTTCGGCAATTTACTGAGCGAAGCTGTTATGATCTGCCAAAAGAGTTTAGGAAAAAAAGAATGTCCGAATGCCAGAAAGAAAAGAATGTTCGATTATGAAAGCAGCGATCAACCTATACAGTCTCCCAAAATCCGGTTTCAAACAGATTTTTTTTACGTTATGATTGATTCTATGACAACCAATATGGAGTTAACAGAACATAACTTGAAAGAAATTTACCCAAATATTTAGTCATCCAAATTTTATTAACGATTCCGGTGAGTGCAGCCTCTGCTGAAAGAAGTTTTTCAAAATAAAAATGAATAAAAAATTATTTGAAAAACACAATGCGCCAAGAAAGACTTTCAGCATTGGCTATTTTATCAATTGAATCAGATTTGGCATCTAGGTTGAATTACGATACCATAATTAAAGAATTTAGTAAAGTTAATAACAGAAAATTTCTGTTCCTTTAATAAAAAAATCCAATGATTTTTAAGAAAATTAAATGTATATCTCCATCTCCACCTTTATATTTACGATTTGTAATTTTTCATTAATTATTGTGAATCTCATTTGTATTTTTATGAATAAAAACTTCGCAATATTAGTTGTTTTGTTTGTTTTTATTATTCTATAAAATCCGTCTTTAGGTTGCCATAGAACAGGGCCTCGCGAAATCTGTCTTGCCCACATCCAATTTAGATCTTGCCCCGCCACTGATTGTATTATTAACATAATTTAAAAATCTTTTAACGTATACCCTCACATATGAGTTATAATTAAACAAACATCAGTTACTCAAAATGTTATGCAGTTTATAGTGTTATAGATAGTATATTTATGTACTCAATGAATGCCGGTGTACGGATAAACCCGACAGGGATTTTGTAACACCGTAAAAGAAATTTGTAATGTATTATATAAATAAATAATAATAAATAAAATAAATAAATAAAATGTATATGTATAAACAGGAAGTCAGTAGAAGCAGAAGTAAGTCATTAAAAAACACAAACCAGCAATATTTTTCAAATATTCTAATAACAATATAAAAAAAACTTGACTCGAGTAAAAAAAATATAAGTAAATATTATTCTTATCGTGTATTTTCATTTATAACTAGCTTTCCGCCCGCAGCTTCGCCGCGTGGAGTTCGGTTATATCGCGTTTCCAAGAGAACCTTTCAAAAGTCTGGGATAAAAACTATCCTATGTTCTTTCTCAAGGTCAACTCTATCTCTGTACCGAATTTCATTAAAATCAGTTCAGTGGTTTAGGCGTGAAAGCGTAGCAGACAGACAGACAGACAGACAGACAGACAGACAGACAGAGTTACTTTCGCATTTATAATATTAGTAGGGATTAATAATAAACATACGTATGGTATTCCGACGACATAATATATTTTTAATGTGATGAATTCTTCAAACTTAACTCATTTCAATTGTTTTAAAATTTGAAATGCGTCAGAATGTACATATGTTAATTAACGGAATTGTTCAAGGAAAAAAATATTTTGACTCCACTTTCCACACACGAAATCGTATACGTTTAGAGTCGTGGTTATAATACACCATAAATTCCCAACACTTACATCGTCTACAAGTCACTTTGTGACTAAATTATTTTTTGCGCCCTTGTTTTTTCACGTACTGAACAACCATTTTAAGTCTAGGTATATTAAATTAATCAATTATTGTTAGCTATATTTTGGGTCTCTTATCGCCCCCTTTAAGCCTGCGGCGGCTACAAGGGGTCGTTATCGTCCACTTTGGGACGAATATAGTATAATACCAACAGTGTGTTTACTTTTAATCATCACCATTAACATATAAAGCTTAAATTTAATCTGAAAATAAAATATTATTGTAACATATTATAACGAAGGCTCTGCTTTTAAAATTGTTTTATGAATAAATTAAAGAATTCGTTTTAATTCCCAAAATTTCCATATTTTTAGTATTACTTCTCTGAACTCTAAAATACAACTATATGTTTTTTGTATAATTAAACAATTTATATCAAATAAAACGAGCGAATTTAGAAATATTTCAAGATGAAAAACAGAATTATATTAAATGGAATTGGTTTCTGCGATAATTGTGTGTTTGGACTCCCGATCTACGAGTGTTGGGATTATATAAATTACAGTTATAATTTAATATGCACATGTTTGGTTAAATAAAAAATACATACCTATTTTCTTAACAGTCAGTGGTGGCTTCGTTGTTAAAGGGCCCGTTACCGAGGGCGCGGGTTCAATTCTGGCAAGTATCAACGTGGTTTTTCCGAGTCATATGTACTTTCTAACAGTATTTAGACACCACTGACATACGAAGGTGAAGGAAAACATCGTGAGGAAATCTGGACTTATAATTTCAAATTATAAGTTTAATATCACCAAGCCGTCTTGAGCAAGAGTGGTTGTTAATAGTCAAACCTTCTCATAGAAAGAGGCCTTTGCTCAGCAGTGGGCTCTGATATGCTGATGATGATGATATTTTCTTATGAGTTATGTTAAAAGCAATATTGTTATATAATAATCAAGCTCAAAATGTTTAATACTTTTTGTTTCACGTACTTGCTTTTAAATATCGCCTTTTTATTTAAAAAAATAATATTTAATTAATTATATATATGTATTATTAATATTTTATTAAATAGAAATCCTCAGTTATATTTACTATTTACAAAGGATATGATATTTTTTTATTGCTATACGCCTTCAATTATTATCTTTCTCCTTCTTCCTTCACCAATATAATAACCAGAGATGTATTTTTTTTGAATAAATCATATTTTAGAAAGTCTCTTTCAAAAGTGTAGAAGTTCAGTAAAGACGATTTAAATACTTCCTACTTTATAAACTAGAACAAAGAACGTTTCATAATTTGAATAGAATTCTATCAAAGGCCTCTCTTTAAATTTTAATACACCTTTTAATTCAAGTATGTAATACTGAAATTTATAAAATAATGTTCATTGTAAATTATGTTATTTAAGAAAAAAATATTTGCATATAATTTGTATATTTATATTTAATGAAGAAAAATATATATGTTATATTTATGTAATCGAATTAAAGGAAATTATATCTAGAATATTAAATACATATGTATAGCGAAAATAATATTATCAAAGTGGAAATCATCACTTCTTTAATTTATACTGTATTAAGTAAAAAATTGGATTCGTAAAACTTTCAAAAAAAAAACTGTCTGGTAAAACAAAATTATATATATAATGTACAATTATAATATCGTTTTTATTTTTAAAGTAACGTATAATAATCATTTCATATGAATACAAGTTAAGTTATAGTCGAAGTTTTATATAATAGAAATGGTTACTATATATATATATATATGGCAGTTTTTAAATATAGCTTATATATTTCTAACTTATCTCGTCTGCACCTGATCACGGTTGCAGCAAAGTGACCGAAACGTCGAGAGTATGTAATTAAAATAATTATAAAGGCATAGTGAATCCGAAAAATACTATTTTCTTTCACTAAATACTCGCGCAAGTCTCAGACATCATGACATATTTACATTTATCTTGACTTCCTTCTTTATTTTTATTGAATCTGTTCCTTTTCAATTATTTACTATGTCAGTATATATTTGAATTGTTGCAATGGCAAAATTATATCAACAGCATTCAGATGAATTGGTTTTAGAATACACACTGAATATTGTTACATTGGAATTGAATTTCTTAGTGAAAAATCGGAAAAATAAATAAATTTTATGAAGATACCTGACTTTGGCAAGTATTCATTTAAATAAAACTAATATTGTCGTATGTACTTGCTACGTTTTTATTATTATTTAAAACTGCATACCCCTTACAAAAAATACTAAAAACAAGTTGTATATCCTAACATAATTCTTTTTAAATAAATTTAATGAAATCACGACAAGACTACTAACACCGACGAAAACATCATCAATGCATTTTTTTCTTACAAAATGTAACAACCCTTTAGGTTGCCATTTCAAGGGACTATTAAGTTATTTTTATCAATCAATCAAAGTAAAACGGTTCACCCAATAACAAATGTATGTCTATAAAATTTACTATTTATTTGATTGAACTTTAATTGTGAGCATAAAATCCTTTGGCAAACTTAAAAGTCATCATAATATGTACATAGTTGGACGTTATTATGATCATTTCCCAGTTCCGTTCTAAAGTAGAGCATTACGTCACGGGTTACGTAAAAGTGGACAATTACATATTAAATTTAAAAGTACTTTGAGTAAAAAGTTAAAACTATATAATTTAACATCAGGCTAAGTTTCATAACTTATCATTTTATATACATTTTGCTATTGTATTCCTTTATAAAGTGAATACAAAACCTATGTTTTAATTTTCTCATTTTTTTTTATTAAATATTGGATATTTTTAT